GAAATGAGCTGAGCCGCTACGGTTCGCAGCTAATGAGCATGCAGCTGGATTGCAAATGGCTGGATTTATAGTGTTGGTATAAAAATAAAACTGGCTGTAGTTTAGAGCTGTCACAGGCATGGAGACAGAAATTGGAGCATATTTGACATCACCCTTCTACAACTAGAAAAGGCAGAGCTGAGTCTCAGGTAATACCTCTTACTGGACTAACTGCGTATCATTGACAAAGCAGTTTGTGGGATAAAAATGGTTTTGGGTCAGAGGTTTGGAGACATGGTGAAAAAGCAAAACAAATGTTTATTTTAGTACTTCCATTCATGACTCTGGCAAGGCTTTATATTTTTGTACAAACAAACTTTGTACACAGCAAATTAGTATGGAAGAATTCTCGACTCATACAGTGACAGTGACACACAACGTAAAAATCTCCTCCAAGAATTCAAGAAATGTACACATACAATGTCAGGCTTCTGTGAAATATTTCACGTTAAAAAGCTAACGGTAACCTTGTTTTCAACTACATGAAGTCTTATTTCAGTTTTCATCTGTATAAAATACATCTCAATATCCCGGTCTATCCAAGTGATACATTGTAAAGAATGAATGTCATCTCCTACCTTTTTGAGTTTGAGGGGAGACAACAGGGAATTTTTTGAAGTGTTGAACCAAAGCTGTAGTTGTTTGAGGTCAGTTCAGTGCTGATCAATGTGATACCTTTGCACTATAATATGTGCTTTATGGAGCTTTGTAGAGACTTTTCCAAATGAAATATTCACCCTGAACTTGGCGTATACCAAAATTAAGGCATTTATTCTGATAATACAGAATACCCAGTCATCTTACAGGTTTCCTGTTATTGCTTAATTGTCACTGGCCTTTATGTTTTGTTTGCGTATTGCATTTTAAATCACTCTTGTTTCAACTAAAGTTCTGTCTTATACTGAAGGCACTATATCTGGTGACTTCATTTCCACTTACTTATCATATGTCATAGTTGCACTTCAGAAGAATTTGAAAAATGCAGTAGCATTTTAAGGTAGCTGAGAGGGTACCTGTTGTAATGTATGCCTTTTATTTTTTTACTTTGAGTGTATGAAGGACTAGAATTTCTATTTTGTGACCAAAGCTAAGATTTTTCTTTTAAAAAGGGTGAGTACCCTTCTATGCTATTGGTGTCCATCCAAGTTCTCTTTATAGAAGACTACTAAAACCAGGATCATTTTTACCAAAGAGAAGAAAGAGAACAACTCCTAAAATGGAGATTTAGGTACCTAACTTTGAGAGAACTGGTCACAGAGCTGACAATATTTCTTAACACAGTGTGCCTTACAATGTATAAAACTTTTTGGTGATAAATGTTTGGTTTATTTGCAGAGCTATTACAGTATGCAGGATATTGTGTAGCTGAAATAAGGCTAACCATGGGGTATCGGATGGGTACCAGGTGACAGATTGTTTAAAAACAAGAGGATATTTTAAGGAACTGCCTGTTGTAGAATAAAGGCTTATTACGCATATACAAGTATATATGTGTAGTATACAATTTATGTGTATATATATGTGTAGTATACAAGTATAACTATGATAAGAAGTAATCTGCATGGATTCCTTTTTTTCATTCTGTATTCTTCCAGTTAAAAGTTAAAGTTGCTGTAGCTTATATTTCTTACGACACTGTAGTATGTCTGCTAAAGTTATGCCTGTGGTGTTTTTTATGGTTGCAGTTTTTTTCATCTATAAATGACCTGTGTACTTGAAATGCAACAAATTATGGTCTGGCTTTTTCTGGTACCTACTGAGCTATTTGCTCTGTTCACTCTGTATGATCACACCATACATAAAGATTCTGGTTTAGTATACATTTTAATCTTTTGGGGAAGAACAAGAAGAAAAAAAAAAAACCAACAACCACCCACCCACACCCCCCAAAAAACCCCTCCAAAACAAACAAACAAACACCCAACCCAGGATCTTGTTTCTAGATAGACAAAGGATAAAGGAAGAAGAGAGGAACAAAGTATCATGTGGGTAATTTTCTGTAGAATTCTGCTGAAATTTTTAAGAAGTGATTAAGGGGTAGTATTGCTCCATTATGAAATTTCACTTTCCTTTTGAAAGCAAGCTATTGATTTAATTTGGCATCTCCCCAAGCTATATGTTCAGTAGAAATGGCTTCATGACATCTAGAGGAAGGATCTAGTATGGGAAATGTTTTCAAATCAGAGCTTCTTAATAGCATTAAACATCAGCATCCCAATCTTACGAATAATAAATTGAACGTTAAATTGGACAATTCTGGTTACTGAACAAAGTGCAATGGAATATTTGTCACAGAAAACAGTCTCATATTTCAGGTTTCATGTGTTTCCTTTTTGAAAGCAGAATATTTCGAGTTCTACTTCTGAAATGCACAGTTACTACAGAAATAGAAATAGGTAGATAAATATGGATGCAATTCTTAAGTATCCAGAGATAATGGTGTGCAAAAAATCAAGTTAAATTCTAAACTAGGCCAGAACATGCAGTCCTTTCCTGTTTGATAAAAGCAAGCAAACTTGAATAGCAGTAAGTTTGAAAAGTTAGTGTGCATAGAGGGAGATGTGAATGTGGAAATGTAATGTGGAAACATAAGTAATGACAAACATTGTGCCTTCTGTTTTAGCCAACAGTTAAAATAATTAAAAATACTGGATTTAGCGATGCAAGTTGCCTTTAGTTTCAATGGCATACACACTTCAGTAAGTGAATCAACATAAAAACTGCTTTCAATCATACCTCTCTCCCCCTGCTCCTCAAGGGAATTTGCTGTTCTCATTAAAAAAAAAAAAAAATCTGTCTTACAGGTTGATTAAAATTAACTTTTTTGGAACTTAAAAATAGCAAAGCAAATAATACCATCTGGAATTAAATCAAGCAACCTTGATCAAACAATTAACTCATCCTCTATTAAATCAATATTTGCTGATGCTAATACTGGAGCTAGTTCCAGTAGTTGGAATTACAGCCACTGATTTAGTGTCTTTATTATTAGTAATTAGGCTGCTGTCTTTCCCCAGTACTACTTCTCAAAGCAAGTACTTGGCTGACTTGTAGAAACTGGCCTAGATGATACCCTACACTACATGCTCTGCATCCTTCTAAAGATTGTTCGTAAGGCTGAAGGCCCTTGCTGATAACGTGACTCCATGGGGGATGAAACAAGTTCAGGTGCGTGTTGCCACAGCTCAACTTAGATCAACTGTTGCGGAGCCACAGCTTAAGGCTATTTTAGCAAAACAATTTTGATGATGTAAACTCTAACAAAAGCAGGGAGCAAAAGCAGAGAGAGTTCCTGCTGTTGCAATATCAGTATATTCTCTTTGGAATTTTTCTCAAGATATTACTGCAGAGGTGCTTTTGTGGCAGGTTCAGTTCACAAAAGGTTCTTGTCACCCCAGTACCATTCTGTCCCTCCTCAGCAGCCCTTCTAGTAAGGCACTTAACTGTGACAAATTAGGAATTAATTTGCTCTGATGTGCTAACGTGACCACGAAGCTTTCTACTAGACCTTTATTTATTCTCTTCTCATTTGTTTAGTGTATTCTTTACTTCTTGGATCTGATTATGTTCTTTTGGCTGTTATATTCTCCTTAAACGATCTTATACAGGCTGATCTGATGCTTATTCTTGTTTGGGGAAGGATTTTCTTTGGCATGCTGTCAGGTTTGCAGTAGCATCTCAATGTTTGTTTTGGTCCTGAATTAGCTGATCAGAAATTACTTCATCATTCTCCAGATCCTGAAGGATGTTTTGGTTCAGATCTGGCATTATGTAATCCAACACATACCTAATGAACATACGTAACAAATTGGGGATGCAACAGCAAGATTGCAGTAAAAACAAGTGAAGTTTGATAACGGACTTGCAATGTAAAAATTACTGTACGGCATCAGACTAGACTACCTTAATACTCCCTTCTGACCTTCAAATTTTTTTATATTTCTCTTGAGTCTATGCTTGTTAACAAAAGGTATCCTGCTCCCAAGTATGGGTCCATTATTAGGATTATAAGATGGATTCTTTTCCCTTTGAAAGATAGGCCATAAAGAAAATTGCTATAACGTAAATTATGGAACTGTTACTTTTGTCTATAACCCCCAAACCAGCATCAAGGTAAATGGAGAAAATACTCTAAGGAACACAGAACTGTAGGCTACTGTATAATTTGGGAATTTTACTTTTCGTTATTTTGTATGAAAACTAGTATGGGAAATAATGCATTTAATGGCATGAAATGTAGTGATCAGGAAAAAAGCATTCTGGGATCACAGTTTGTGAACCCAAAAGTGCTGTTTCTTTTCATTTACATGCGATAACTTTTTTCAGAGTTACTACTAAGAAGGATGTCTATCATTATTCATCTAATAATGCAGGTGCAGTGGTGTTATTTAGTAGTGAATAGGAAAGAGGAAAGGCCACGTGACTGTAACAGCCAACATAGGTCACTTGCAAAACTATCAGAACCTGGATGATGTTGAGAGTCTGGCAAATGCTGATCTAAAAGCTGATGATAACAATGTTTTCTTTGCAGATATCTTAATATTGTTTGTTTTGGCTACCTATGATGTGAGAACTTTTTCTGAGATAGGTAGCTTTCTTCTCTGTACTGCTGTCTTTATTAGCAGTCATCCAGATCTACAAGGCAGCTTATCTGTTTCTGTTATGTACTTGAAATGAAGTACCAATATATAGCTTTTTTAGGATATTCTATATGGATAAGCCCACACAGAATTTTTAAAAGTATTTTTAATTTAAATTATTCTTATAAGAATCATTATACATTATAGATAAATTCAGCATTTCCGAGGTGCATTTTTTTTGCAGTGGTTAAGAGCCTTTTTTTATAAAAATGTGTATTATCTTATAGGGCTGCAGCTTTCAGGGGTGTTTTTTTGTTACCAATGGTGTAACTTTTTACTGCAACAGAACGAGGTTAACACAATCACTTCGTTTAATTTCAGATTGGCCAAAGAAAAAGTTATGTATGAAAAAGAAGCAAAACAGCAAGAAGAAAAGATTGAGAAAATGAAAGCTGAAGCATGTGATGATTATGGAATTAAGAAACAGGTAAACTGTCCTGAAACTTGTTTTATAAAATCCTTCTTTGCTTTAATTTAATTATAGTCATCCTTAAGTAAAAGAATCTCCTGTACATTTTTCCAGACTCCTGTTATATATATTAGTACTAGACTAAAATCCTGTCAATTATAAAAGTCATAATAAGCATTTGTAGAAACTTCCTTTACTCCAGAACTGTTAAACTCTAAGGAGACTGCATGTGGATTACTTAGCACTTGGTGTCAGGATGGCTATCACTCACTAACTGTGTATGAGGCCATCATGAACTCTCTTTCTCAGAAATACCAAGAACCTGAAAATACACGGTCTGGATGCATTTAGGTAAACTAAGTGCTTGCTGGTAAGTGCAAATGTTACAGTGAAGTGAGAGTGCTTCATAGTTAGTGTGAAGATGAAACATTTCAACTCTTGAGTATATAGGTCTCTCTTTGCTAAAATCACAGATCTCGAAGAGAGCGAGCAATGGGTATGCAGCTGCTCCTAGCAGCTGCTGGAGTTTGTAGTGAAGTCACTAACTAGCAAAGTGCATGCTGTAGTTTCATCTGCTCAAGAGTATGGTTTAGTGTCACTACTAAAATATGATTAAGTCTTTCTTGGAAGGTTCTCCAGAAAGGACAGTGGTTGGAGACAGTTGGTACATGCCCTTTTGGAAGGAGTGTCAAGTTTCCTTCTCACTGAGAAGAGGCCTGGGTTCGGGAGATACGTGTTTATTCTTTACAGAAGTGTGGCATGTCTGTGTTTAACTGTGGCCTTTATATTCTTTCAGCTAAATATGTTGTCTTTTAACTGTTTTTTTCCCAAGCATTTCCCAGATGTTTTCTCTTAAATCTTCACAAAAACTGAAACTGTAAATTAAAATTATTTTCACTTGTTTCAATAGTCTGGTGGCCTCGTGTTATAAAACCTAACCTACTGTTCTCCCATCTTCATTTTTAAACAATGGAAGAATAAGTTAAACAAAACTCAAATATAAAAATTAATGAAAACAACATAGGAGAAAGCCTTGTTTTAGAACAAGCTAAACCACCTTTTTCAGTAAGTTCAGTTTTCAGTTCGTGTGTATATGTCCTGCCTTGCTTTCATTATGCCATGGGAAAGAAATACAAATAAAGAATTTGTGTACAAATAAAGAATTGTATTTATAGAGCTGAGCTGTCTTCTGCCTCACCAGGGACTGAGAGTCTAAGATCCTACAAAACAGTAGTCTTTCTGAAGATCCGCTGGTGCTAACAAGAACTAATGAATGCAATTCCCATTTTTAGTGTCCCCCATTCATCAGATTATTTGACTGCACCGTGGTATTTCCGCAGTGACCTGCAAGATACCATCAAAGTCAAAAAACAGCACAGGCTGTGAACTTCTGTGAAATGAAATGTTACACACTACTTAAGGTATTCTCGGAGACCAATGACAAAAGCCTTCACAGAGAATAGTCTCGATTCATTCAGGAATTGCCTGATCCGCTTTGAGAGCAATCAGTTCCTCCAATGACATCTTCACTACTTGTTCTTTTAGTGCCCTTTGCATTCTGGAAGTTGTTAATATTTTAGGTTATGAAGAATTTGGAGGCTCAGAAAGAATGCGCACACTTTTCATAAGATCAAATCTGTTACTCTAAAGAAAACTATATAATACCAGGAGAGTTTGCTCAGAACCACGCTTTGGCTAGAGTTAATACTTCGAGACGTTCTTCAGGAAAAATACCTGTAGTTACACATTTTAAGAATTGCTTTTAGTTAGTAATTCCTAATCTGAATAATTGTATTTATTTAAAAATATGGTTGTAGTTTTTATTTCAGTAACGAAAAGTAACATTTGGGGGATGGGAATGAATTCAATAATTTGAAACTAGGAGAGTAATTTTAACTTATTTTATCTGAGGTATCAGCTAACTCAGGTATGTATATACAAATCAATCCAGAGTTGAGGGAGGGAAGCTTAAAAGCATTACTTATCTCTTACTGTACTACTATTCTCATTTAGCTTTCTAGTTACAACTCTGCAGTAGAACATACGATTTAACAGTACAGAAGTGACTACAGAAGGTTTTACTTTAAAATTAATAATGCCATTCCTACAGCATATGTAGACTTTAGGGTGTGTCTGGTCTGTAAGGAAGGATCAGTCCCTTTGTAGAATGATAGTTAGGGTTTGACTCAGTATTTTCTCCTAACTTGTTATACAGTGGGGCAGCTTGTGGTTCCTGTGAACTCAAGTGATCTCTAGCTGAGGCAGTGACCAACTAGGGTAGTTGGCAGTTGTTAGATACCAGCCTTCACCTGTACTGTCCAGAAAGACTTATTTAATAAGGAGCAGATTCAATATCAGAGAAACAAAAAGGACAGTCTTCTCGCACTGCTAGTTTACGCTGACCAAGATTATAACTTGAAGACCCCATTGTAGAGCGCGAGAAGACTTTGTTATGGTAACCCAGGATAGTACCCTTCCTCCCATCTGAATATGTAGGACTCTATTCAATTTGAAACTAGGCGAGTAATTTTATCTCTAAACATCCCAAGGATGTTTTATCTCGTTGTCACGGTAACCCAGGATAGTTTGCTTCCTCCCTCATCTGTCCCCACCTTTGCAAGGGCATGAGTGTGATGGTGGATCTCGGAATTCAGACAACAGCACCTGCAGTACATCAGCAAGTTCACTAATGAGCAGAACAGGCCATTGTGTATGTTAATCAGCACAAGCTTTATTATCCACCACTGTAGCGCTGTCCTTTGAGCTTCACCTCTGAGCAGGGCTCCACTGCATCGGGTCCCCATTTTGATCAGCATCAGTGTCCCGGGGCTCCCATCGTGGTAACACTATGCTTTCAATAAAGCCAGAGCTTTCACTTGCTGAGTGTTGTGCCTCATCCCTGAGGGATCTGCACCTGCTTTTCACTCGTAACACCTGTATATTACCATTGTCCCGGGTGCATGTTGTATTCACACCACTTGCTGTGTCTTAACTCGGGTACTTCAGCTGAATCCAAGCTGGGTGAGAACTACTTGTGGTAGGTTGCATATCACAGGGAAAGAATCTCTAGCATTATGGGGCAAGGAAGCCCTTCCTTTTCCATCACTTACAGCTTATTTTAAAAAAAATAAACGAACACCACTCTGCTGTCATCTGGTTTTTGTCTACAAAAGGCAGATGAGATGTTTAGAATATAGGGGAAAGCTTGTAACAATTCATTTGAGCCAAATTGGCAGGAAAAACATAATAAATGAAGAGCAGTATTTGGGGGGGGGAAAAAAGGCTATGAAAGAAAAATTTTCATATGTTTTTCTATCTCCAAATCACACTATCTTCAACCATGAGACTTGTAGGAAAAAGGGTTATTAACTACTTTAATAAAATACTAGATTGAAAACAATCTTATTAAAAATGGAACTATTGTATATGAAATTTATCAGGTTTGTAGAAATTAGGAAAAAATATTAAAAGACTTTTGATGTATTCCACCAGGTGTAAATTCTGCATATAGTTTCTATAGAGGGTCATTAGGAAGCCTGACTGGTAGCAGCATGTAGTGCAATTGTAACTCCATGTGGATTTTTTTGCAATGAAGCGTTAGTTTCTACACAGTTGTAATGGTTCTCATATTAATACTTTACACAGAGCTTCATAATACTTTATCTGTAATAGAAACTTTTCACACTGTAATCACTCATGAGTGCAGACTAGTGAGAGGAACCAGTAGTTCTCTGTATTTGTGTTGTTGTTGATGTGTCTCGTACATAAATAAACATAGTTTCTCATTTAATGCTTTTATCTTGAGGCTTGTGAGTGTGGGAAAAGCCTGAGGTATCTATTCCGTGTTTCCTCTCAGTGGCATTGTAGATACACTCTGGAGTTTGTTAACTGCCAGCATTTTTACTGATAAATGATAAATTTCCATTTTTTAAAAATAGTTATCCCACAGTTCCAAATTACTTCTTGTGTAATGTCATTTCCAAATGAATTAAAAATCCAATGGACTTAACATAGAATATAATATCTGCATGCCAAAGAGTACATAAAAGCGCATACAGTACATATTGCTAATACACAGGTTTTTTTACAAATATTAATGAAAACAGCAATATTTCTATTGCTTTGTTGAGTGAAAGGCAGAGTATCTCCTGAAACAGCTAAAAAGAAATACATTTGGAAACAATGTGTATTGTTTTGGAAAATTATTGTGGACAATGAGAATTTGCTGCTAATCTTGTTACTGGAGGTGTTCTTGCTGAAAGGGACATTGTAATGTTCTGTAACTTTTTCATTTTCAAACATCTATTTAGCCTCAAAGAAATACTCTGGTTAGCTCAGCTGGCTTTTTACATTTTTAGCTCTTTCCACCCCACACCTGATGGTTCAAACAAAGTTTCATTCTTCTCACCACTCAAGTACAGTTAAGATTAGAGGAAACATACAGTTGCACTTCAGTCTGATTATTTTCATAAGGGTTTTTTTGGGTTTGTTTTTTTTTCTAATAATAGATAATCTTTGCTTAATAATCTGAACTCTAGCTTTAGTTGCTTAGGTAAAAGAGGCAGTGGAAATGCTAATGAAGAGTCTAATGCTCCCCCTTATGTATTTGGACAGTATCCTTAACAAGCACAGTTTGTTTCCTGAAAAGCTAGCAACTTGGAATTCTCTGTACTAACTACAGAATAATATTCCTAACATAGAAATGGTATTAAAAATGCTTTCAAACTTTGGTTTTATTGCCTAATGTGCTTTCTGAAAGAGACCAGCTGATGAAAAATCATTACTATGATCTTCCTTTTTCCCTCCTGTTTTCCTTTTTATCTAGGCAGGTGTAAATACCTTTGGGATTCCAGACTTTACGCTGAAGATTAAAGGCACTCATGCAGTATTTGGAATAAGATAGTATGGCAACATTCCCATGGTAGAAAAGACCTGCCACCAAGATGGGATATGATTCATTTCTTCTTCAGTTGGGCTCACTTTTCCTGTGCTCTAGAGGGAGGGAAAAAATCTGGACT